TAGTACAGAATAAACTGTTCCCCACATTTTAATACAACAAGACACTTGGGCAACATCTGGAAATGCCTTAAAGCAGTACTGAAGAGAACATTTAGATGCCAAAAAATGTGGCAGAAAAGGGGTTAAGCTAGGCAAACTTGACATTGTAACCCTCTTAACAATAGCATCTAGAGCAGCAGTTGCCAACATTTTTATCTTCATGAACCCCTTGAGTAATAACTTTTCACAGCAAACTCCATTTAAGAAGTAATAAATTTTATAAAATAACTTTTGAACGTGTTGAATTTATTGAAAATGAAAAGTTTCTGTAACACATAGTAACATGTGTACAATAAAGTCTGAATCTCTGATATTGTCATTAGTTTACAATGAGTACCCAGTAAAATTGAAATATGATTCTTGACACATAATAAAAAAATTGAAAACAAAACCATTTAACTAAAACTAATGAGACTTCCGAGATTGTTTGGAAGAACACAGTGCTTTAAAGTTTAGTTCAAAAGAAGAGAGACATAGTCTTAAATCTGGATCTGCACCAAGCTATTTCCTTCATAAAATATTTTAATAAATTAGAAGGAAATTAAAATATTGGTAAGAACTGTAGAACCAGGAAAGTGAAAAAGACACAATTACTAAATTTTTCTCCTGAACCCCTCAGAATTATCTCTCAAACCCCTAGGGGTTTGCAAACCACCGGTTGGGAAATGCTAATCTAGAGTATGTTGAATGTCCAACTGAGGCTTTAGATGCAACATGTTGAATATACTAACTTTAACCATATGGAATGAAGAGAAAAACAATTAGCCAAGTAAAAACAGACCTAATTAAAGAAGTACAAACTTAACGAGCTGTAGTATTGTGCACAAGACCAAGAAGCTAATACACAGTTACCCTGTGAGCAAAATGGAGAAAAATTCAAAGCTATAAATCTATGGGAATATGGATAAAGCATCTGATACAATGTTTACCACCATTCAATGATCTTGATGCATTATCCAAGAAACTAACTAAAAGATTGGATATCATTATCTATAATGCACAAAATTTTGAAGTGAAGAATGAAATTCAGTCACCATAGTACATGTAGAAACTAATGGCTAAGTCAAGCTCTGAAGGAAACATGTTAATGAGAAATGATGCTCTAGAAAAGGAGGATCATTTACAAACAAGTCTTGGAAATACAGTCACATGCAAGTTAAAATAAAAAGGGTATCAAACCAGTTACGTAATTGGCTAGGATAGGGCAGCCATAAAGGTTTATCCCTTGCAAAGAAAACTAGAGAAGAAAAAGAAAACACACAAAATAGGTCCTTCTACTCCTCAGAAAGAGTTTAAAACATGAATAATAATAATAAAAAAATCAGTGCACTAATATTATTAGAAAAGAGGAGAATAGTGGGAGAAAAATCTAAAATTCCATGAATGTTACCAGTTCAATATGTCAGGAGATGCACTGGAAATCTAACAAAAGAAGTCCTCATTAAAAAAAAACAGGAGAAATTAAAAATCACAGAAACAATACTATTTGGTTTGCAGTAATTTCTCTTTTTCTCAACTATACTGAGGAAAACATAATGAAAGTTAGTGTGTGTCAAGAACTTTACACTTTAGATGAGAAAAATGTGATTTTGATTGAAAAGTCTCCAATTTCTCAAGTTAAACATAGCATTAAAAGAAAACAAGACTTTTTTGGTCCATTTGGGCCTTCTTATCTACTAAATTAAACTAAACACTAAAAAAAAACCGAAAACAGCCATCACCATTCAAATATTCATACTTTTCCTTAAACTCCATCAGAATAACATAACATACTGTTTATGGAAAACTAGGGAATTATCCTCTAAACTAAACTAAAACTATCAAATAAATAAGTAAAATAAAATAAAAACCTTAACATCAGCCCTTATCATTCACACAGTTATCAAGTTTTCTCTTAAATTCACTTAAATTAACTGCCTCCACAACATCTGAAGGCAATCCATTCCAGAGGTTGACCACCCCTGTTACAAAAATAAAACCATCTAACTTTGCCAAAATTTATGTTTGTATCGCTTAGTCTTATCATTCTCACCATTAAATACAAAAAATATGATGTATCACCTCAATCATATTGTCTCTAACTCTTCTTTTTTTAAGAGAAAACAATTTCAGATATCTTAATCTCTCCTCATAAGATAATTCCTCCATCCCAAGAACCATTCTATTAACCCTCCTCTGAGCCCTTTCCAATAATTCAATGTCCTTCCTAAAGTAACGAGTCCAAGACTGAACACAATATTCCAAATGTGGCCTAACTAGTGACCTGTACAATGAATTTATAACCTCTTTAGACTTGTATTCAATATTTCTGTAGACACAACCTAAAATCCTATTTGCCATACCACTAGCAACAGCACACTGCTTAGATTACATAAGACTGATTAACCATTACACAAAGATCCCTTTCTTTCATAACACTGTTAAGGTTATTCCTATCCAAATTATACTTATAATTTAAATTATTTTAACCCACATGTATTATCTTGTATTTATCATAATTAAAACCCATCTATCATTTATTTGCCCAAATCACTAAATGATCTAAAACCTTTTGTAAAGCAGCAGTATCCTCTTCACAGTTAGCAACACTCAAGACTTTAATATCATCAGCAAATTTAAGTAATTTATTGACCATTCCTTCATCCATGTCATTGATGTAAATCAAAAAGAGCAAAGATCCCAAGACTGAGCCCTGAGGTACCCCACTTGTGACATTAATCCAGTTTGACTGAACTCCATTTATAACAACCCTCTGCTTTCTTCTATCCATAATCCAGTCAATTTTTTATCCAATTAGCTAACTTATCCTCCACACTTACAGAGATAATTGTTTTACCTTTCATATGGCACATTGTCAAATACTTTCTCAAAATCCAGAAACACTTTTACTCTCATCTACATAAGCACTAACCTTTTCAAAGAATGTCAAAAGATTTGTAAGGCAAGATTTTCCCTTAGTGAAACCATAATGACTATCCAATAAAATTCTATACTTTGTTAAATAACCTTGCAAAGCATCTTTTATCAGACTTTCCAAAACTTTTCCCACAAGACTAATAGGCTGATACTTACTGGGACAATTTTTATTACCTCCCTTGAAAAAAAGGGGTGACATCAGCTAACTTCCAATCTTTTAGCACCTGCCCACTATTCAAGGACTTACAAAAATAGTAGCAAGTGGCTCACACATCCATTCCTTAACCTCCTTCATCAAAAGCCTTGGGGAAATATTATCTGGCACAAGAGCTTTATAATTTTTGACAAGTAACAAGCTCAGAATTAATGCAATCATACTGTCTGACCTTGTTACCATCTATCAACTGTTCAACACGAGGAATACTACTTATATCTTCATTACTAAAAACTGAAGAAAAAGATTAATTTAATAACACAGCCATCTCATAATCATCAGATACAAACCTTCATTTATCATCCATAAAGGGTCCTACCTCAATCTTAACAGTTTGTTCACACTTAACATACTTAAAGAAATCCTTACTGTTAATTTTTACATTTTCAGCCAACCTTTTTTCATATCTCCTTTTTGTTGTCCTAATTTCGTGTTTCACCAACTTTCATGATCTTCTAAGTATCCTGTCATACCAGTCAATTTAAATTTCTTAAATTTGTGATGTTTTTCTTTAATTTTATCTCTTACAGCCTTTGTGAGCAACCTGGTTTTTTACTTGCAGCCACCTTTTCTTTCTATAAAGAATATGTTAAGGTTATCTTGAATATTTAAAATTTATCCTTAAAAAATGCCCACATTTGATCAGTGCCTCCAAATAAATCATCTGCCCAATTCACAACAAATAATTCTTGTCACATCCCTCAAAATTTGTTTTTGAAATTTGTAACCAAAATATCATTATTTCGGATCTCATACTCAGGAAATCATCAAACCTAATAGACCAATGATCACTTGCACCCAGATGTTCCTCAATTTCCACCCTCTCTTTCATTTTTATATTAGAAGTTGACAATAAATGTAAAATAGCATTGTTTCTAGTAGGTTCCTTGACCAACGGCTGAAGGAAACCATCTTGAACAGTTTCCAAAAACCTTTCTCCCTCATGGTTTGATGTTAGCATTTCCCAGTCTTTATGCCTGAAATTAAAATCACCCATAATTATGATCTCACTAATGGCTGAAATCTTAATCTCACTGTAAAGTTTTTCACTAATTTCATCAGTACTATTTGGTGGTCTGTAAAAAATTCCCACTAAAAGCCTTTTCCCTTTATATCAACTAATAGAAACCCAAATAGATTCAATCTCCTTGCTATTATCTTTGATATCTTCCTACATACCACATTCTTCTGCAGAATTTCATTATTAGGTTATGGTAGTGATTAATAATTACAACATTGCATGTAAAATAACTTACATTAACTGGCTTGCCTAGGTAATGTTCATAGGCAAATTTTTTAATATATCCATTTTTTGAGTTAATTTATAAGTTTAAAACTTCATAAAAAATATACAATTTCATGAAGACCTTTTAACAATCTTAAAATCAGAGTGGAGTTGGCATATATGTGAGTACACATTACTGGCACGTAGAATGGGATTTATAAATCTCTGTGTGAAAATGAGATTTAAGGAAGTTGTCAAACAAAAAAAGGAATGTAGACTTTGAACAACAAATCAAAGTATTAGCTTATTCTTTATCCAAAAAGCAGAGCAACATGTTTCAATTTAAGTAGGCTGAATTTGGTTTATCTGAAAATTATGTTTCTATAATGATAACAAACAAGAGGTATTCAATTACAAGCTCAATTTTGTTATTCATGAAAAAACGTTCTAAAGTTATCTTAAAGAGAAATTTACAATGAAACTGTTAGAATACATAGGTAAATCCTAATCTCATTATCCATCCATAACAAACTCTGTGTGCTTAAGATTATCATTTCAACTGATATTTAGAGTAAAACTTACAAGTATACAGTAAATAAATCTTACTCATTTCCAATGAAGATACTTGGGTATACTTCATCACAATCTTCAGTTACTGTCATATGCTCTCCAAATGGAATATGTTTGCCCAAAGAATGAGGAAGAATAGTATGCACATTGCATGAAACTTTTGGGTAAGGTCTAGTATGAAGAATCACATGGTGTAGATGTGTAACTGTGGTTGTTTTGTTATTACATTCTTTATAATTTGGATGCATAGCCATCTGTTAGGAACAGGAAACTCATATTAGACTATTTTTTGTTAATGATTGGCCAACTTGTTAACTTGGAGTTACTTTTTGTTAAACTGAAGGTTGAAGTTGAAAGAAACACATTAATTATAATCCATAAATAAAGTACATACACAAAATAAATATTTTAGCAACAAAAAATCTGATCACACAGAAGGCTATTGAAAAACTGAGCCAATAAAGCTTTTGTATATTCCAAATATGAATAAATGACTGGCTTTGCTAAATAGTGTTACTGTAGAAAGAGGTATGATCATCTACTATTTCACACAAAGCATCCTAAATATTAAAAGTTTTAATACACCAATATTTGTTAGTGAAAATAACATTTAAGTTTTCTTGCTCAATCCCCCACCCCTTTAATGTTGGATGGAAATTTATTATATTTGATATTAATTCAGCATATCAAAAAAAATGGAGTCAAATAAACACAAACACCTTTATAGCATGATGACATCAACTTTGGGTACCACTAATGTTTTCTAGTTTAGAAACTCTTTAAACAAGACACTGTTTATAAAACACCATTACTCAAACACAAGGTAGTAAACCAAAGATTCCTAAAAATGTCATTGTTTTATTCATTAACGCTTATGTGGATTATTATAGAATAAATATTTCAAACAGTAAGTTAAAATAAAGTTTGTTTTATTTAACATGAAACAACATGCATGTCCCCACACCTAGAAATTAGTGGTGGATAATGAGTGAAGTTTGAGGCTTTGTGTCCTGTAGATTATAAAAGTAACTTATCAATGTTTCAATAGCTTGTTCTGCTCAAGTCTTATATAAAAAGTAAAAATGTTTTAATTTTATTTAATGAGACATAACCTAAAATTTTTGAGTCAGTTTTTTCTGGATTATTAATGGATTAGCAAAGTACGTTTTCATGGGAAGACAAGAAAAATGATAAAGGTGAAGCACCATTTCACAACAAATAAAACACACTCCAAAAAATTATATGCAAAAAACAGCAGGCCTTGAAATTAATCCAGCAAAAATGTTTAGAAATTGATAATTTAGCATTCTGTGTACAAAACAATCTTGAGAGTTATTGGGTGGATGTTATTAAAGCCCTTCCTTCAGGGAAATAATTATTCTCAAATGTATTTGGCTTCATTGAATTTCCTTTTGTGAAATTTTTGACCTTATTATTCTAAATTTAATATCTAATTAATATGAGCATTTACACTGTGTATATATTATAATACACAAAAATTACAAACAGGAATTTTACAAAGAAATTTTGGGGATTTTTATGATGAATTAAACATTAAAACTTTTTTTGTTACAAGTCTTAAGACAATGTGTTAATATTTTATGTAAATACTGCATATTTCATATTCACCAGTTGATTCAATTTATTCATTTTATAGCTTTTGAATCCTAGTCAATAGTGATGAAATTAAAGATATGTAACTTATTGTCTTTTACAAGTGTACATTATTTAGTTAAATACAATCCTATCTTCATTTCTGATAGTCTTTTTCCCTTATGCTCTGTAGCAAACAAGCTGTGAATTGACTTTTCTAAACAAATTCCAAGATATTTGGTTGGTTCATTTACGAGTTCATTAATGCAGTTACAAATGGTTCTTTTTCTAGAGAAGTTAAGTGGTGTATTCAACACATGTGGTTTTCTCACTTTTTTTTTGATCTTATGACATTTTTAGTTCTATGCCAAATCTTCACAGATAATGTTTTCTCTTAATTGTAAAGAAACTGGATGTTATTTGTTTTGGATGCTAATATTAAACTATAATCTGCCTATGTTTGCTTCGATTAAGCAGTAGAATGTAAAGGTTATAATTTTTGAAAACCCATATTCAGATTTATGTCATGCAAAATTTCTTCAGTGATAAACTATTTCTTTTAAATAATATGTGCTACTGCTATTATAATTATTTTAAATGTTTGATATATCAACAACATAAAGTACTATTCCTTCAGTAAGACATGTTATACCTGAGGCTGAGAACATTTTATCACATAACATCAAAAGTAAAAACAAGCTTTCAAAAGCAACATTTTTATAATTTCCTGTGATGTCTTAACAGGCTACATACATATATGCTTATTGTACATTAGTACTAAACATTAAGCTTCAACTGATAAGAGAATTAATAATTGTAATTTGCTACAATCCTCATTTTTCTTTTGGTGCAATTTATGAATTTATAATTTTTTGTTGCCATTACATATGCCTATACATGAAGCATAAAATAAACTGAGGTGGTGGTATTTCACATGATCTTACATGTATCACTCAATATTAGACATACTTCAGCAAGGTCACCGAAAGTTTTCTGTTTCAAGAGTAAATAAAATCAAAATTATGAGAAACAAATATTTTTATTTCTTGCTTTTGAAGTTCATATGTCATACCGTGTTGTAGCCTATAGAGTGTGTAATTATTCTTGTGATTCATGGCATGCTCATGTTTTACTAATGTTATGACAGTACAAATTGCAACATTAAACATCCCTTATGTGATGTCATTTTAGTGTCTACAGACTGTCTGACACACAACTGATGAGTGGATAAAACAGGTAACCCCTCTAGATGGCCTTTTGCCCCCTTTTGGGGAAATAAACTTTCAACTGGTAATGCATCCTGTTTGAATAGTTGACAAAATATTTTCAAATACTTAATACTACATGAGTAAAGATGATTCTTTATTCTGTAGTCAAATACCATAGGCACATGTATATACTACTGTTACGAGTTATACTGATTAACTAAAACCTCTGATGGTCACATGTGACCAACTGCAGTGATCAAACCAGCATGCAAATTGCAATTAAATTGCTGATAAGTTATGACACTTAGGTTAAAAATTGTAATTAGATGGATTCATTGCAAATTATATTTTCATCTATTAAAAATAAAGTAGGTTATTGGATACATGATGTAAAAAAACATACAAAACTCAATATAAAAACCTTAATGGACAAAAGGCATAGTAAGAATGTAAAGAAACTAAGAAACAAATGTCTAATAATGCACATATAAATCTTGGTACACAACTGAAATCCTAAAGTGATGCACAGAATAATAATCTTGTTCAATTATATTTGACTTTAATCCATCATTCAGGACCAATGATGTTACACATGTAACTTGTATATGTGAGGCTTCTTTGTGGAAACCATATCTTTATGCAAGATTTAGGTAGGATTGAACAGTTGCCTCTTTATGGGAATTAGAAGAACAAGAGGTGGTATAAAATAATAATATTATTATACTGAATACTAATAAAGGATAAGTAATTTGTTAATTTATTGATCTAAAAATGCTGGAGTAAGGCCCCATATAATTGAAAAAAATGATTGTGCATGTCATGTTAGGATTTCACTTTTTGGTTATGTACAAAAATTTCTATTCATGAACATAATATGCGTTTTTACTTTGTCTTTTCTTTTTCATCACATACTGTGCCTTTTGGCCATTAGCATTTTTATATTGATTAACATGTATGTCAAAGCTTAAGTTATAGGGCTATTTTTAGTTTTAATTTTGACTTTTCTAGGGATGGCCTCAATGAGTGGTTACCAAGTGTTTGTAAATTTATAGGCATTCAGTAGAAAATAAAATAAATCCCATTTTAATCCTGCAGGTAGCAAAAAACATAAAAAGATTCTTTCACTTTTAGTGATATCAGGTTAAAAAGTGCAACAGGTCACTGTTTGTTTTTATACAAGTACAAACAAAATTGTAAGATTTCCAAATTTGTCTCAATGGGTCAGAAACTCAGACATTCTTGGACTTCTGTCATGAACTTCATTTTCACAATTCGTGTTTACAGGTGATGTCTGCCAACATTAAATATTTGACTATGATTATAAATCGTATGATAGATAAGCTGTCTAAATAACATCGTTATGCTAACACTGACAATGACGGCGGTAATCTAAAAAACAAAAAACTGTGTCAGCAGATACACTTCTTTAAGTTCTTATTAATATAATTGGTTAAAATTTAATTGTAATTTAATACTTCTGAAAATCTTCAATTTCTCTTGGAATTTGGTTAGCTGATAAAAAATGTACCAAAATTTATCTGCCCGTGAGAAGTTGGAATTTCTAAAATGTTTTGAAATTTGGGAAATACTCAGGTTTCCTCGTCACATGAATTATTGTTTGTTTATCTCAATTTCAGTGTTCGTATAAAAACAAAACTTAAAAGTAAATTCCAAACCCTACCTACCATCACCATACACTTAAAGACAGTGAGAGTGTAAATTACCGTCCCACACTCAACCGAATTATGAAAACGTAAAGCGACTCTTGTAAGACTCGTCGGTTTCCCTGAGCGGTTAGGAATACGGTTGTGACTCCTGGGTAGGTAAATTGTAATGTATCAAAACGATGTTACAACAAGGATACGAAAAATTGAGATTTATTAAACATAATACAAGCTTTACAAAGATATAACCAAACAATAATGTAGTACTTGACCAGTTCTGTAAAGAAATAACACAATCTCCTAATCAAACTTATGTACAAGTAATGCAAAAAGACAACGATGTTAACATAGACAATTTCATTTTATTTTTATATTCAAGCGTAAATAAGATGATAAGTGTTATTTTCTATTACAGAACTTCGTACCTCAGAAAGTAGAAATGAAACTCCACAAATCGTTATGAACGAACCACTATATACCAAATGAAAACGCCATTTCAAATAGCTGTGGCTAACTCAAGGAAATTCGTAGAGGCACAAAATGTGTATAATTTTATGTTATGTGCAAGCATAAATAAAAAATATAAGTATTGTTTACTAGTACAAAACTTCGTAACTCTAGAAATAAAACGAAACTCCGTGATTCATCAGATTCGAAACACTGTACCAAATGAAAATCCCTTTTGAAATAGCTACTGCTAATTATGTAAATATTAGAGGTACAAAATTTGTATAATATTACTTTGTATACAAGCATAAATATAATCATAAATGTTATTTATGAGTGCTAAAGATCGTATTTCTGGAAGTAGAAACGAAACTCCGTAAATCACCGAGAATGAGTCACTATATTCAAACTCAAAGGTGGAAACGAAATTGCCAAATATCTTGGATGCTGGAAAAATCTAATATACAAATTTAGTCGAAATAGCTCGAAACATTTCAGTCAGAAATCTGCCTGAAGAGCACGATCCCTGAAATGATTAATTGCAAAAGGTGGAGTTAACCGTAATTTGCTACATATGTTAATATATGGGTAGCATTTAAACAGTTTTACGTCTGAACGGAGGAAGGAAGAGCAAATTAAGTGATTTTTTTACAGAGTCATAAAACACAACTAGCTAAAACTAAAACAGAAAATGTACAAAATGTTAAACAAGCCGTGATCCCCATTTAAGTTTTAAACAATCCTTAAGAACCACGATGTTGAATTTGATTAAATGCTCATGTTCCAAATATTTTCCACCAGAAAATGCATTTTTGAAGAAGATATTCTATAGAGATTTTTTCGTGATGTTTTATAACTACCCATCAACGTACAATCTGAAAGAATTTGGTTTTCAAAGAGTGTGTAATAGCCTCGTGCACATTTGAACATGATTTCAGAAGTAACTAAATCTGTATAATAAATAAATTTAGTATTCCAAAAATTTTTAATCTCAATGACTAAGTTCAAAGAAGGTACAGTTCTATATACACTTTGATCAACGTGTGTTATTGGGTTATATTAGTTTCGGAGAATTCCACTCTTCATCAGTAACCCTGAACACAAGTTAACTAAAGACAGATAAGCTAGACCTATATCATAGCGAAAAGTATTGTTACGTCTCCGTTTGTTAATTAATTTTCCGTAACTTCGTTCCGACGAAACTTTAGCGACACAAGTCCTTACTTAATAAAACTGGTTTATTCTTTCTGAATATAACTTTACGATACACTTAATTTCAACAATCGCGCTAAAACAAACGATATAACAACGAACGTGCTCAATAATACTCTCTGACTGCAGATCAATACCTCACTGTCTACACACACACATTAATTCCCGTCACGTTGTCACCCTCTTTTATATACCATACTACCCTATATCCAGTAAATGCTAGAGCATTCGCCAAGGTACAGGATAGTTCTAGAAAGCAGAGGGCGTGAGAATAGTCGCGTGATCTCGCTGACGCAACAGTATGAAACATATTGTTGGTGCTTTGTTAAACGTGCTTTATTAGTCACTAAACCTGTCCTAATGAACCTGTAGAACAGGTAGAGAAGACTCGATCGTGGAAAGATTTTTTACTACAGTATCTCCCAAAGTTAATATCTGAACAGAAACTTCGTTGCCAAGAAAGACTTTGAATTTTATACATATGCCGTTCATTTGCAGCAATAAGAACGTCAGTAACATGTACTAGAGAGACTGTGGGGTAAAGTCATTAGCCAACGTTACCAAACCTTAGGGCACAAAGTTTCTGGACTGGGATTCAGGTTTAACCAATTTAGTTGTTTTGTTGGATATCCCATGCTTTCTGAGTCTTGACGTAATTCTGATTAAAGTGACAGCACTACTGAGATGTGATCCATAGTTTATCTCAAAAATGTGTTGACTCTTTTCACCTTTGACATTACATATCACGAAGGAAAATTATTCTCCTTATTACGAATCCAACATACCCGAAAGAAACAAGTTTGCCTCACCTAGAAAAAAGTGGCATATCGCTGTTTAATGCTTAACAGAAGAGTGAAGTACTTAGAAAATTCGAAAGGCAAGCAATTATGATTAATAAATTGAAAAACAAAAACATATTGTACTCTTTTGTATTTGACTACAATGTTTTTAAACATCGAAAAATAAGGGAACGATCCACCACTTTGTATCCATTTATAAACTGTACGTTCAAGGATTGCACTGTAAATGGAAAATTAACTATGGAAAGTGAGGGAAAAGTTAATGTATATTATTCTGTTCCTGAGATTAAACATCACATAGAAGAAATATATGCAAGGCCAGTTAGTTTGAGGAAAAAAAGAAATCGCTAAAAACAACAGATAAATTTGGATACTCTTCAGTCTTTAAAACACATAAGTTTACTTGGCTTCTCAGATGGAGAAAATGTGCTGCAAGAAAGAAGAAAAAAGAAAGTTATATAAACAAAATAGGGAATGAGGCCAATAGCGAAGGTAGTCTAGATGAAGATGAATGGATCAGTTTAGAGAATATGTGAATCAGAGAGTCAAGCACAAAACAAGAAGAGAAATTCTAATCACGAAATAGTTTCGTGTAGAATATTCAAAAGTATCTAGGTTAGTATGTGTGTTGCTGGACCGAGACAGTTATCAGAATATATCATGAACGAGCCAGAGTTAATGCAGTTTATTAGGATGCTACCGGACCCGTTCTAAAATCTAAATTTGATGGCAAGTATAAATTTTTTACGAGATGTTATCATTAAATCCTGTTAAAGGTCATCCAGCATTACCCATATTATTTGTTGTAAGTACTTACATGACATTACTATTATTCGCCACTGATTAGGAAGCTTTCGTGAAGTTAACGAAAAACTGTATAGAGATAGAAACATAATCTGTCTATAGCATATTCACAGTGACAAAGAATGGGTTTTGTGATTTCTTCTGCAAGTCCTCTTTTTATGCTGTTTAATACTTTTTGCAGAAATCGAATTAACTTGAGAATACTACAAAAACACAAGAGCGAGTGAGTTAATTGGTCAGTTAGTAAGTCAGACACTTGTAGATATGAGAGGTAATTAATAGGTAAATGTCTGTTAAGTTTATTTGTGAGTTAGGCATATTACTTGATTATTATTAGTTTGTGAAATCACATATGTTGTCAAATGTTCTGTTGAAGAAAAAAAAAAGCTTTACAATTCATTAAGTGTAATGGAGTGTGTTATTTTTTATCGAATACTAAAAAAAAAAGAACCTACCTAATGAAGGAAACGATAATACACTCATGTTAGAAATGGGATTAGTTTGGTAAAACTAAAATAGAATCTAGACTGAACTCTAAAATGGTGATACATGCTCGAGGTAGATATAAAATTTGCTCAAAATGATGAAAGTGAAAATAACAGGTAGAAATGAATTGAAAATTAAAAAAAAAGATCAACAAGAAAGAGATAGTTTATTTGTTTGTTCGTTTTTACTCCAAGTTACTCGAGGACTATCTGTACTAGCTGTCCGTGATTTTGGAGTGATAAACTGATATTTCGAACATGATTACTTATAAATTTCTTCAAAAATATACAATGTTCAATTGTTTCAACAAGAAATTTTCTTCCCACCCTTTGTTTGAACAAAATAACTCACTCTTTATATTCATAGAAATCTAATATTCAATTATAATTAAAACTAACATTTCTTTAATTTTTATATCAAACATCACTTCAAATATTAGCTAGATGATGAACCATAAAGGTAAAATGGCCATCTAGAAATCTCAATTGTTTAAAACTGGCGACTTAAAGGAAAATTTCTTTCAAATCTCATTGTTTATTTGTTTATTGAATTTCATACAAAACTACATAAGGCTCTGTGAACCAATTGCCCCTAATTTTGAAGTAATATGCTAAAGAAAAGACAGATAGTCAGTACCACCCTCTGCCAACTCTTGGGCTACTCTTTAACAACGAAAAGTAGGATTGACCATCACATTATGATGTCCTACGGCTGAAAAGACAAGCATGTTCAAGCAGATTTCAATTCCCCGACCCAGAGATTGTGAGTCGAGTGCTCAAACTACAGACTGTGTTAGGCCCCAGAAAGAAATAGAAAGTGAAACGAAGATAAAGAACAAAGAGATAGAAAATTATAAGAAAGAGACAGAACAGTAAAAGAAGAGTGAAGATAAATTAACAGAAAATTAAAGGAAGACCAAGAAGGAAGCTTTAAAAAATTAAACGGCCACGAGGTATGCGATAGGATTTTAAGAGAAGAGTTAAAAGGAAGAGACAAACGATTTAATGAAGAATAAATAGAAAAGAAATGTTACTTGATGACATGAACGAAGAAGTTATTGGAGATATGCAGAAAGACCATAACAGCAACAATGATGTAATAAAAAAGACGTCTATGAAGTGCAAAAAGACTGTAATGACGAAACTTTAATGACGATATAAAAAAAATATCAAAGTACAAAAGGATCTCAATTAAGTATAAATGGCATCAATGAAACGTAGAATGATTTTAAGAGCAAAATCATTAAGCTAGAAAAGAATATTTGAAAATGAATTAGCAAATGCAAGCATCAAATCAGCCACACTTTTTCTGAACTCATCAAGAAATTTATTCCTCAGACATCTTTAGGTATAAAACAAGGAATAAGAGAACCTATTTGGCCTACACCTATTTTCGCTACTGCTAGGTTGAAAATAATATTAAAAGTGAACGGTGAACATCAAACTATTCATCTTGATACCCATTTAGAAAAACCAGTGTTAACAATAATTAATTCTTCTTGTTGCCATAAAAATGTGTGAGATCATACACGGAGAGAGAGGTATGGTTAGGCCCTTAAGATTATTCCTCTGTCATGTGACATTGTCGCGAGGCGTATAGGTGTAATCTCTGCTGACATAAAAATGCAATTGATAACACGCAGCCAGACAGTCCGAAATTCGCCATATAACTTGATGAAACCACATATGTTGTAAGTTTAGTTTACATTCTGGTATTTGTATAAGAGAGTGTGTGAAGAGTTTCTGTTTTGCTAATAACTGAAAGGGAGAGCTACATGGGAAGTCATCTTCTCTCTCGTTGACGAGTTTTTCACCACTAACAATCTTTCTTGAATTAATTCTGTTAGAGTATTCT